ATTAATCAACCCGTCATCAATGACAGCACTGCTGATCTTCTTGAAGAGCTCATCAAGTGCCTCTATTTCACTAACAGTGACTGCATCCGTATCAGTAAATTAACATTGTTCAGAAGAATGATTCAATAGACCCCATAACAGAACCAAGATGTGTCTTCTATTTAAAAATTAATTGCAAATGTTTTATTCCACTACCAAAAAAAGGGAAGAAAAAGCACAAGTTAAAAAAATGAACTGAGACATACACACAGCCTCTAGCAGGAAGTTCAGGATCTTCAAGGCCTCTTGATTGTTTATACAAACCAATATCACAGCAACGCAGTAAGGAAGCAAATAAACGCTTGATTCCCTCTATGCACTGCAACATGATATTTCCTGCACATCAAAACGCTCCATACCTTTGAAGCAAAGAAACGGATCAGAAATTCTATAGACACAGACAATCTTATGATCTGAAGTATTGATGCAAAGGAAAATGTTAGAACAAACCTTTTAACCATTTCCTGATTCTAAATACTTCAGCACAGGTGTAAAGGGTTGCAAATGCTGAGGAATACAAAACTATATCTGTTTAAAAATAAAATCAGATTTCGGTGCCAGACATTGCAAAAGATGATATAGAAAGGAAATTTAAACTAAACATAATGAAAGAAATAATAGCCTAAAGCTTGTGCAGATTAATATCTTCCAGTTATTTTAAAATAATTTTGTTCCTTTTCCCTCCATGCGTAGGTAATAAGATCCAATATATTTTAAAATTCAATGAACTAGACATGCAGCATATTTATGAAAATAGATGTAGACAAACAAAAATGGGACCTGTCAGAGAAAGTTATTCAATTTGAAATGGAGATTATCCACAGCTGTGAAAAATCATAAAAAGTCTACCAACCATTGCAGACATTAAAAGAGAAAGCAGACATTGAAATCAGTAACATGGAAAAATAGAACCATCCACCTGGCCAAAAAAAATAAATAAGGACCAACCACCAAAAGGAAATAAGATGTCAAAATGTCCTAACTGAATATCAGCAGCTAAATTCAACAGCAAACTTGGCCACAAGTTAACCAATCAAAATGAAAAATCTTAGACAATATAGTGAGGGAAGAGAAAGACGGGTTGTAGACTCCCAACAAAGTTTTAGATCCCTCACATAATCACATCCAAGCCTTAGGCAAATAACCAACACCACTATGACACATGGACGCTTCCAGGCAGTGGGACTGGTTGCTTTGCTGGGGAGACTTTAATACAGTCACAATATAATGAACAATAAGGATTAAACTAATAAAGAAATGGAAAATTCACATCAGGAAGGCCTGAATGCCTCCGAAGATCAGTACTCAGACCACCAAGCCGACACCCTTATCTCACTGACAGACCACAAGTCACCAGAGAGCTTATTGACACTCTACCAGCATTGTTACCAACCCAAGCAGGCCTTACTTAGGCATGGTAATGAACCACACTAGAACTTTGTGATTCACCATCATGTCACTATCATTCCAATGTGTAGTTGCATTCATGATATACTAACCTCACAGTAATGCCAAAAAAAACCTAAAATTGAAGGTAAAAAAGCAATACAATTTATCTCTGGTGGATACCAAAATTCAAACTTGGAAGTTTCTTATGAATACAAACTCAAAATTCGGGGGGGATTATGGTTTCAGATAATAACCCAACTCATATACCAAATCACGAACATATAAAACATCCCAGAAAGAAAAAGGACTTATCTTTACAATCAAAATCAAACCACATAATTAAGCCCGGTCATCTGGATTCAAACCAACTCAATTCACAAAATCTAAACAGAAAATCAGAGACCACCCCAGAATACTACCGGCATCGCATCACAATCCCAAAAGTTACATAATTCAAGATCGATCTACCCGATTTTCAAATGCTCAAATTAACTCACTTACCACGAGCAAAATACTAAACAATTTGGCTGCAAAATTCCCAAAAGCTTTCGCTCCTCAATTATTTTTCTACTAGAAAAAAAGAGAGAGAACCAAGGAAGGAATCGAGAAAAAGGCTGTTAAGGAAGAGACAGAAAAAGGCAGCGGAGCGATGGAGGTGATTTACAAATTGCGTGCAACGGACGGTGGCCGTAGGGAATCTCGACCAACGTAGGGCTGGGCCCGGACAACTTATGGCTTTGCGCAAAACGACATATATTTATTTATTTATACAGACATGTAATTTTACAATAAAACAAGAGCTTCAAACCGAAGGAGTACTTTTTCATTAAACATTAATCAAAAGGTCTAAAACATCAACCCTGCAACTAGCTTCTTCTTGGAACAACTCTTCTGGCTTTCCTCATCTTCCTTCCACTTTGACTTAGTCGGCCATCAAACAAAGACACAAACCAGTTTGGTTTTCCTGTACGGAAGACATGATATCCCATCAGCAGTCCAAAAACAACTCCACACCCATAGCCTAACGCCACAACTCTCCAGCCAAATCTCCACAACTCATCTTTCTCTTGGAATGAGCTCGGCTGTGTCCCATTTCCATCACAAGATTTTGACAATGGGAATCCACACAGTCCAAGGTTTCCTTCATAAGAATCATTTCCAAAGGTGTTGAACTGATAGCCTTGTGGTATGCGTCCAACAAGATGATTATTTGAAAGATTCAATTTGGAAAGTTCTGTCAAAGATACCAACTCATCCGGAATTTCCCCTACCAGCTCGTTGAAAGAGAGATCCAACCACTCGAGGTTTGTCAAATTCCCTAGCGACTGTGAGATAGGACCTGTAAGGTTGTTATGAGAAAGATTAAGCCCTTTGAGAGAACTAAGCTTTCCAATAACATCTGGAATTTCTCCTTCGAACTTGTTTTCTGAGAGATCAATGCTAGTGAATATGGTCAAGATTCTCTGCAGCTCATACTCCAATCCTTTGATTATCACCACCAGTGAATATTGATAAGAACCATTGCTCATCGTCATGTATTCAGGAGAACTGTCATCACTATGAGTGTCCATCATTGCATTAAAATTTTCAATGTACCGAATAGGCAAAGCACCAACAAAATAATTGTTGGAGAGGTCCAGAATTCGCAAGTTGGGAAAAGATGGACCTTCGTTGGTGCTATCCACGAAACCGTGGAACTTGTTGGACCTTAAGACAAGCACTTGAAGCTGTGGTAGAGATTCCAACCAATGAGGGAATGTATCATTTATGTTGTTGTTGCCAATGTCTAGAACCTCTAACCAGCTACAATTCACCAAAGACCTTGGTAATAGCCCGTCCATTTGATTTCCATGCAAGTTGAGATTTTCTAATTCACAGCTCTCTGTAAACCAAAATGGTATATTTCCATCAAAGTTATTGCCCTGCAAATTCAGCACTGAGAGAGACTTAGGAAGACAATTTGGGATTTTCCCCACTAAATTGTTATGAGAAAGGTCAAGAACTTCGAGATCAGCCTTTTCCCATATCCATTTAGGAATATTGCCATGAATGCTATTCTTTGATAGCATTAGGCTTTGCAGACCATCTGAATGTCTTAAGAAATTGGGGAATTCACTCAAGTTACAAGAAGACAAGTCAAAATAAGTTAGTTTGGGTAATGTGAAGTTGGCATCGACATTGACTCTCAAAGAAAGATTACTGTGTGAAAGACTGATGGATTTCAGATTTTGAAGTGCCGAGAACATGTCAGGTACTACTAAATCACTAAAATGATTTGATGATAAATGGAGAGAACTAAGATTTACTAAATTAGCAATTGAGTTAAGAATTGAACCCTGGAGTTTATTGTTTGACAAATCTAGTTGTATGAGTGATTTTTGCTGGAATTGATTTATTTGACCTTGAAATTGGTTATAACTGAGATCCAAGACCTTTAACAAAGGTAGGGTGAAAATCCAAGGTGGCAACGTGCCATTAAGTGAGTTATAAGATAAGTCTAGAGAGCTTAGTTTGGAAGACCTACTTGCATGAAAAGGAATGGGACCAGAAAACTGATTATTGGAAAGGTCAAGAAAGGTAAGTTGTGTGAGATTTGCAAGTGATGATAGGATTTGTCCGTTAAGATTGTTAGAATAGAGGGATAGGGAAGTAAGTTGGGATAAGTTTCCTATGAAAGCTGGAATGGGACCAGAAAACTTATTGTATGATAGGTCAAGAGAGGTAAGTTGTGTGAGATTTGCAAGTGATGATGGGATTTGTCCGTTAAGATTGTTAGAAAAGAGGTTTAGGGAAGTAAGTTGGGATAAGTTCCCTATGGAAGCTGGAATGGAACCTTCCAAGTTGCAGCCAAGACCTAGAAATTGTAATGACTTTAGATCTCCTATAGACTCTGGCAATCGCCTTCCACAATCCATGACATTTAAATCCAATTTTTGGAGAGGACTGCTCCAATTGGAACTTGGAAGATCAATAGTGAGGTTTTCCTCTCCACCTAAACCACCTAAACCAAATGTCTTGAGATTTGGAAAGCGGAAAATACTATTTGGAAACCTTCCTCTTAACACACTCTCGAAAAGATCAAGAGTAGTCAAAGAAGAAGAGAGATTCATGAAGAAACGAGGATTAACAGATGTCATGTTCACTCCACTAAGCACAAGTTCTCTCACCTCACTTAAGTTGTGAACAAGATTTCTGAAGGTAGTTGTTTCCAGGATCAATTTATGAGAATAAGAAGCATAGATAGCATTAGGATCAGGACCCAAAGTGTACAAATCAGAGATATTGAGAGAAACTAACTTGGGGAGGTAAGCAATTTCTGCTGGAACTTGGCCTGAAAACTGAGAAGAAGAGATATCAAGATGCTTTAGTCTAGTAAACTGACTGATTTCTGGTGGAATCTTGGAAAGCCTAAAATCATTGAAGGCAAGATTGAGGCTCTGCAGGTTTTTGAGGAGAAAAAGAGTACTGTTGGAAGGAAAGGTACCAGAAAGGAGACTGCAGCTGAGATCAAGGGCGATTACATGACCTGTGACATTATCACACCTAACCCCATCCCAAGAACAGCAGTCTATACCTACCTTCCAGGACTTAGTCTTAGAATGATTAGGTTTGGTGTCGTAAAAGTACGCACATAAAGAATCAAAAGGAGGAAGAGTGTAATTGATGGAAAAGGAAGTCTTGAATTGCAACAAGGCAGCAGCCTCCTCATGAGAGCAGAGATGTGTTGTTGAGAAGGAAGAAGCA